ATTCCTTCTTTTGTTATAGGTAGACCTCCATTTATGAAGCCAATTGAGCCTGACATTTCCACTGCTAAGTGAAATGGTTGCTAAGTGAGTTTTGCCTCATCTTATGATGTTGCTTGTCACAGTTGTTAGTGAATCACTGCAGTTGTTAAGTTAGTGTCATGGTTGTTAGGTGAACTGGCTTTCCTGTTGACTTTGCTTGTCAGAAGGTGGCAAAAAAGGGATCAGGACACTGCAGCTGTCATAAATATGAACCAGTTGCCATGTGGTCAAAATTTGATCACATGACTGTGGGGATGCTGCCAAAGTCATGTGTGTGAAAAATGGTCATAACTCCCTTTTTTCACTACCATTGTAAGTTTGAATGGTCACTAGATGAACTTTTGTAAACCAAGAACTACATACCGTATGTATGTATGTATGTATGTATGTATGTATGTATGTATGTACAGAAGACAGGATCAACCAATTCTCCAAAGCATCTGAAGGCAGGACAAGAATCAATGGATGGAAATTAATCAAGGAAAGAAGCAACCTAGAACTAAGGAGAAACTTCCTGATCATCAGATCAAGAAACCAGTGGAAGTTGTGGGTGCTCCATCATTGGCAGGTCTTCAAGAAGAAATTGGACACCCGGCTTCCGGTTTTGAGCTTCTTCGGTGACAGACAGAAATCTGCGATCGTGCGCAGTTTCGGTCTGGGCTCGCCACTGGAGCTCCCCGAGCTGGCTGGTTTCGGGGCTAAGCCACCCCGTAGAGGTGGTGAAGAGGGGGGAGACCGCCAGCAGGGTTGAGGAGAGCCGCATTTCTCCTCCTCAGTTGGCCATTACTCCCTTTCCCGAAGGTGGTTCCAGTGGTGGTCAGAAATGGCCACCTCAAAGAAGAACTCAACTGGAAAAGAATGTGCAGGTGGAAGATAAGAAATGAAAGTTTTGGCTGACCGGGTTAAATTGCAAAAGTAACAACTAAGGTACCCTGGAATTTAAACTTACAAAAAAATAACATCATTCCCAAAGAAGAGTCTGAAGCAGCAAAGGAAAGCGAAAAGGGAAAGGTTTGGTTTTTTTCTTTCTTCTCTCCCTTTCCCTATACTGACAACTAAGAGACTTAAATAAGAAATCGTTAAAATCCACCTTGACATCAACAAGCTATTAAGGTGAAAATTAAAAAAAATATGTCAAAGGGATAACAAAGATTTCTGGACACTAAAAAAAAATTTTATAAGCAGGAAAGGAGAGAAAAAGAATAAAAGGGCAGGATCTGGAAAGAGGGAGGAAACCTGGAATTGAAAGGAATCTACAGTAAAACTTCAACAAGACTTCTAAAAGATACATTTTAACTGAAACTTTGTAACTAAACAGTAGAGCCCCAGGAAGAGAAAGTGAAAAAAAAAAGGAAAAAGAAACAGCTTGCGTGTATTTGGATTACTTGGTGATCTTTGGATTCTTTTATTGCACTTGAATGACTAAAATTAATTGGGTGGTTGTTTAAAAATTTATACAATGGCACTACTTCTGGATGAATTGAAAATGGAATTTAAAAAGAAGATGCACAAGAAGGGAGGGGTTCTTTTGGCTTCATTTTTCAATTCTTAGAAATGGAGATTTGGAACTATGAGAAACAACAAGAAACGTCTGCAAAACAAGAAGACTGGGACAAAGAAGAAGCCATCTTTAATGAATAAGTAATTCTTTGTGGGGAAGAAAAAGGAAAGAGGGGAAAGAGAATGGAGAATTTAAGACTTAAAAAAACAACCAAAGAAAAGAAAAATAATTTGAAAAATAAGTATAATATTGGAAAGCAACAGAAGAGGGGAATACAGAAGAGAGAAATGGAGGTAGAGAGACATGGGGGTAAAAAGGGGAGAGAAAAGAAGAGAGGGAAGAAGAAAAGGAAAAGAAGTTACAAAGGACCGAAACAAGATATAGGGAAACAGGACCTATTTAGAGATAATGGGTGAAAATTTAACTGAAAAAGGGATTTTGTAAAGGTACATAAGATTGTATTGTTATATTAGTAATAGAAATAACTTTAGAAAATTGGAAACAATGTATAATTAAAATGAGGGATAAAATAGTTAGTGTAATTTAGTGAAATGTTTGTTAATAAAATAAATCAAATAAAATACATGAGAAAATTGAATTAGGAAGGGACAGGAACATTTTAATTAGTTAATGCTTTATAAATATAAGTGAAGGGGGGGGGAATTAATCATGGTAAGCTTATAACTGTTCCCATAGAAGTATGATATTTAATTGAAAAGTAATGTTAAAGAAGTTAAGATTTTAATGAATATTAACATCAATGATAGAATTGAATTGGAATGGAATGTGTTGTTTTAATTACAAATATTTATAATCTTTTTTTAAAGAATATAGCATGTATTTTAAGAATGTACCAAGCAGAATCCGAATGGAAGTTATGTATTATATTGAATGTTAAAACTTTAAGGTATATATTGAAGCCTAAATAAGAGTTAAATGGATAAACTTAAAAGATATAAAGGTGTCATACTCCAATTAGCAACTACAGGAGAAACTTTGTTTAAGGAGAAAAGATAATATGAAACTGAAACAGGACAGACAAAAAATACAAATATAATGATTTGAATTGAGATGAGATAATTAAAATAAAATTGAGAAAATTAAAAGAGGGGAGAAGCTAGGTAGAAAATGTAAAACAGTAATAAGATACGGAATAGAACATAAAAATGAGCATCAAATTGAATTTGTGTCTGTACGAAGAAATGCAACCCGGGATCATGCTACTTTCAAGAAAGATGTTTTATTTGTATTTTTTTGGTGAAAACTCAAATACAATTTACAAAAAAAAAGAAGAAGAAATTGGAGACCCATTTGTCCAGAGTGGTATAGAGTCTCCTGCCTGAGCAGGAGGTTGGACTAGAAGACCTTTTATATGCTCTAAAAGGGGCCCTAAAGCCCACTCCCTCTTTTGAGTCTGTTTGGATCCAGACTTGGTGGTTTCCACCCCTCTGGCTAGTGCCTGGTAGCCTAATTGAGAAGGATGTGGTTAAGGGTGGGTGAGTGGGTATATATGTTTGTGAGAAAGAACAAAGCACTTTCTAGCAAGTAAAATTTTGCTGTTACTATACCTTAAATTCACTCCTGTATTTCAAAGAATGTATTGCGCCTCAGTGTTCAGTTGGAAGTGACTTGACTGTGACTGTTGACCAGGGCTGGGCTGTGTGTCTTGTCTGCTGTAGCTGCAACTTTCTGTGAAAACCCAGGTACAAGATCTTTGTGCCTTAATAGGCTGTGTCAGAGCTGGTCTTCAGCAGGTTCTGACCAGTTCTGGAGAACTGATAGGGGAAATTTTGAGTAGTTCGGAGAAGCGGCAAATCCCACCTCTGACTGGCCCCACCCCCATCTATTCTCTGCCTCCAGAGTCCCAGCTGATTGGCTGGGCCTGCTTTGGTTGCCCTGCATAGGAGAACGGAGCTGGAAAGCAAGTTAGTGGAGTGGGGAGGAAATGGAGATTTTGCAGTATCCTTCCCCTGCCATGCCCAACAAACCACACCCAAAGAACTGGTAGTAAAAAAAATTTGAATCCCACCACTGTACATACATACATACATACATAATATACATATGGTATGTAATTCTTGGCAGACAAAAGTTCATTCAGTGACCATTCAAACTTACAATGTCACTGAAAAAAAAGTGAGTTATGACATTTTTCACACACATGACTGTTGAAGCATCCCCACAGTCATGTGATCAAAATTTGACCGCATGGCAGCTGGTTCACATTTATAATGGTTGCAGTGTCCTGATCCCTTTTTTGCCACCTTCTGACAAGCAAAGTCAACGGGAAAGCCAGTTCACCTAACAACCATGACACTAACTTAACAACTGCAGTGATTCACTAACAATTGTGACAAGCAACATCATAAGATGAGGCAAAACTCACTTAGCAACCATCTCACTTAGCAGTGGAAATGTCAGGCTCAATTGGCTTCGTAAATGGAGGTCTACCTATAACAAAAAAAGGAATGAATGGTATACATCTATGGAATCAGCAGAAGGAAAAGAACAAACTCTGATTTTGGGACGGATTGCAGCAACTACTTGTCCATGAACTTGTAAACTATTTTATCAAGACATGTTAGCTTTGGCTACTTTTCAGACAGACAAACAGTTCTGTTGATTTAAGCCTCGTTCCTTCACCTTAATTTTTGACTTTGAACATATTTGATGTCCTTGTCCATGCATAGTGGAAAAATCTTCCCTTTTGATGTCACATAAAATGCTCCCCATGGCTCCATGTTTGGAGCAGAGATGTGCAACGTTGGCACCTTTAAGACTTGTGGACTTCAACTTCCAGAATCCCTCATCCAGCCATACCAGCTGGGGAATTGTGGGAGTCAAAGTCTTAAAGTTGCTGAAATTGGACACCTCTAGAGAACAGCATGGCTGGTAAAGGAAACAAACACGTGGATCTGTAATGCTGAGAAAGGTGGAAGGAATGAAAAGAGGAGGATGACCACTAGCAAGATGAATGGACTTCATTACAACTGCAATGGTTGTCATGTTGGATGGTCTAAAGGGCTAGTTTTGAGGACAGATCATTCTAGAAAGGATTGAATTAGTTGCTAAAACTTAATGTCAACTGGATAGCACTTTATCCCTATTAGCTAGGTCAATAATGGAGCTGAGATTTGACACAAAGTCTTTCATATGTATAATTGACACTACCTTTGTGCATCTTTGCTATATAATTTTGTATTCTTAAAATACCCTTTTCTGCACTGGCCTTCTGGGATTAATTTGACTGACTGACTAGAAGAGTTGCTTTCTTCTTTTTGTACAATCTGCATTTTTCCCCCTTATCTAATCAAACTTTGACTAGATGTCCCCACATATTTATTTTTCCTTTCCTCTTGTTTGCAGGACCTTCGGCAAATATTGCATCCTCTCAGATAAGCCAATGCAAGTGGCAGGTGTGGGGGTGGGGACAGCGAACAGAAGCACTGCATAAAAAGGAGCACCTGACATCAGGTCCTCCGAAGTCTACCTTCCTTCCATCGGTGTACATCATCTCTGAACATAGCCATGAATTCCTTGGTAACTCTCATACTCCTCGGCCAGATTATAGGATGCACGTTTAGCCATCACTTGTTTCCCCAACTTGATTGCAATGGCGAAGAAGCTGAAAAATTAGCAGAATTGGCCGTGCACTACATCAACGAGCATAATCTACACGGATACAAACAAGCTCTCAATGTAATCAAGGATATTCATGTTGTGCCCCGGGTAAGTACAATGGGAGGAAAAATTTTCCGAGTTTCATTTACTAAATCAATAACAGGTTATTGGGGAGCGGGGGTGTTGTGCCAGGCAATTTCAGTATCTCTCCTGCTGAGATTTGGGCGATTTACGGCCTCTTTTTAGTCAACGTTCTGTAATCTCATAGCTTCCATGTTAGTTGAATTGACATGTGTGGACAATGGGTGTCCACCATTTTGTTGATAGTTATACACAATGCCCGCACCCCATCCCAGTGAATGCTTATTCTTCTGACTGCTGCTTCTTTAGCTGTCAGATCCTTAGAAAAGGAGAGTTATCATTTCATGATCTGCACCATATACATAACATGTTTAACCAGCACAGAGTATGTTTTTGTGATTCAGAACTTGGTGTGAGCACTGGTTAGATTGGTTGCGTCAATTCAGCCCCTCGGGTTATTTAATGGTTCAGTGTGTGATGGAAATCTGGGAAATGGTTCATTCTGCAAACTGGGTTAAATGTTACTCAGTTGAATGCTTCAACTGAGAAAAATATTAACTCTCTCCGAACAATCTGATCTTTATTAGACCCCTGTCCCAAACAATTGCCCTAAGTATCTGTAGGTAGACAGGCCAGAACTACCCAACCCCATTGTTTAGAGCCAATATGTTGGTGGTTGAATAGACAATATGCACACATGTGAACCATGCAATGTCAGAAAGAGGTAATTTCTTCCACCCAGACCCGGCCAAAACCAACAACTGGGAAATCAACTAAGGCCTGCAAGAAAACCTCAGATGTTTATGTCAGGACATGTCAGCCTTGTCCATTCCTGCCTTGCAACCTCCAAAAGAACTGTGTTTAATTTAAGGCAGCATTGACATTTTGGTATATTTTCTTTAAAGCAGTTGAGAAGTGCACCAGGATGAGTTCTTTAACTTGGGTGTCAAGCTGATGCAACAGAGAAAGAAATGTGCAGGGAGAAAATTCATTCACATGCTAATTTTTCATTTTAGAGACCCCATGGGAAGGTAATCTTCCTTGAGCTGGGTGTTCTGGAGACAGTGTGTCACGTGTTGGATCCAACTCCTGTCAAGAATTGTACTGTAAGACCACAGCATTACCATGTAAGTGTCTGAAGATTCTTGAAAATGTAAGACTTTGTGAGAGGACAGGTGGCTTCTTACCACTCCATCAAGAGTAAATTCAGTTTCTGACAACACAAACTGATATATTGGCGAACAAAGGGTTAATGCAGAGGTCTCCAAACTTGGCAACTTTAAGACTTGTGGACTTCAACTCCCAGAATTCCTCAGCCAGCCATGCTGAGAACCCAGGGTTAATGAAACCTCAGCAGTCGCTAACCTATTCTATGGGCATTCGTTTTGAGTTCATGTTACATCGCCAGATTTCATTTCAACTCTGAGCAATGAATTAGTCAGGAATTAAGAAGTCAATTCTTCTTTCACATTCACCCTGTGATGTCCAAAGCTGAATTGTTCCCATGCCAGATACCATGAAAAGTGCCTTATTGCTCCTCTGCTTAAAACAGAAGGTATCCAACCACAGCAACTTTAAGATCTGTGGACTTCAACTTCCAGAATTACCCAGACAGCTATGTCCAAGGTTGGATGCCCTGGGTTTAGAGGTTAAGTAGAAGTTCTCATATTACAACATCTGCAAATATTTCAGCAAAGACACCAATAAGATAGTTTTGAAGCAAGTATGCATGTCAGGTTCAAAACCAAGAAAGACCCACAAAGTTAGGGCAAAGCAATTTTCCTTTATTCCTCCTTGCCTATAGACAGAAATGCCCAACTAAAGCAAACTACTTGCATCATTAAATGTATACAGTAGTCTGATAACTTCTAGGGAAGAGCTGTCTTGACCTATTTCTTCCCAACCAAACCATCTAAACTGTCTCTTGCTTATCTGGAATGCAATGCCTCCCACCTGGGAATCCAGAGTACATTCCCTCACAGTGCACTAGCTACCGTAATGATGCTGCCTCACAAATTAGTCTAGCCAAGTTACTAGTGCACTGTGCTCATTTTAATAATCTCCTACCTGTTAAGAATGTGGAGTATGCTGTAATGGACCATAATAAATCCTACTAATGCTATAAATCGCGCAGAAGCACCAGCTTTAAAGGACTAACCCAAAATGGTTTATTAAATCATGTTAAGTTAAAGTTTATCATATTTAATTTGATGCCTTTGTATCTCCAGGCTGTTAAAGGAGACTGTGATGTCAAGCTGCTCAGTGATGAGGGCATCGACAAAGTGGTTGCTTCAAAATGCCACTCAGATCCAGGTAATTTGTCTCTTGGATTCTTAGCTGGGCTGGATTCAAGAAACTGAGGTGTCACTGAGCTAACAACTGGCATCTTGTTTCTTCTTGTCCTATTTTATTAATGTTTATGACAGTGACTTACTAACCCAGCCTTTCTTTAAAATTTAGCAGCATCTTAGGGTCCTGAGATGTTTCACCGAAGCTAACTGTGCATTGTTTTAATTCAGTTGAAAGGCAATTCAAGTCAATATAAGTCAATCTAATGAGCTGGAATGGATTACTGAATTGGATGCTTCCAAACCATTTATTTTGCATCTACAAAACCACGACCACCACCACCCAATCTGATTAAAATGCTGTTTTCTATCCATTCAAATGATGGATTTGAATCAAACTGACTGTTCAAATGAATTTGATGCTTGGATATGGACTGGAATAACTTACACAACCTTAATAAAGCATTTGACATCCCTTCCTCCCTTCCATCCCAGCCAATCAAAACCTAAGCTGTCCCGTCCAGGAAATGAAAGTGCAGGAGAATTAACTCTGTGGTTGGTACTTCCTGGTTATTGGAAAATTGCTATGGAAAATTTCCAATTTAATTTGCATTTAGGGAAATTCCCAGTCAATCTTATTAACTAGAACAGGAACAATCGTTATTCAGATCAACAAGGAAAAACTATGGCTCAATGTCTATTGAACATTAGCAAACATCAAAACATTTAACTACAAAATGAGAGGAAAAAGACAGACAAAGCAAGGCGGAAACAGAGAAAGAGATCAATCAACACCCATCCCTCATCTATATGATTTATGTATCTCTATATTTATATATCAAAAATGATCTTTATAGATCCACTGGAAATGACATTCTGGGTATTGAACATGACATTTCCAAATGGAGTGGCCTTTCATTATTCCAGCTTGAACCCATTTATGTATGTAGCAATAGCAGAATAGGGACAGAAAGTAGGACACCAGGTGATCCCTCTTCTTTTCTGCCCCGTTAAACAAACTACTGGATGGATCGGGATGGTGTATCTGACCATAGTCTGGAATGCATGTCTAGACGTAACTACAGTAACTAATTACCATAATTGAGCGCAAACTTTTTATTGGTAAGCAGGACAGTTGCTAAGTGAATTTTGCTCCATTTTATAATCTTTCTTGATATAGTTGTTTAGTGAATCATGGCAGGTATTAAGCTAGTAACACGGTTGTTAAGTGAATCTGGCTTCCCCATGGACTTTCTTTTGTCAGAAGGACGCAAAAGGGGATCACCTGATCCCAGGACAATGCAACCGTCATAAACATGAGCCAGTTGCTAAGGGTCTAAATTGTGATCACATGATCACAGGGCTGCTTCAACAGCCGTAATTGTGAAAAACACTCCTGTCACTTTTTTCACTGCTGTTGTAGCTTTGAACGGACACTCAATGAAGGGCTGTAATTGAGACATTGACTCAGATTTATGACTATTGCAGTGTCCCAGGATGACGTGATTCGCTTTTGCGACCTTCTGGCAAGCCAAGTCAGTGGGGATTCACTTAAAACAGTGTGACTAATTAAAGAACTGCAGTGATTCACTTAACACCTGTGGCAAGACAGGTCATAAAATGGAGCAAACTCACTTAACAAGTGTTTCACTTGGCAACAGAAATGTTGAGCTCAATTGTGGTCATAACTCGAGCACTGCCTGTACTTATGGTCCCCCATTGCAAAAGCCATAATTTTTAACCTTCTCTCCGACAATGTTTTTTAACCTCCTGCCTGAAATTTCCTGAACAGTTAGGATAATTAACCAGTGGAAGGACTTGCCTCCAGAAAGTTTTAAGAAGAAACCAGACAACCATTTGTCCGAAATGGTACAGGATGTCCTGCTTTTTTTTTGCAGCAGGTCTCAGCTAAGACTGCCACCTGCTTTCAAAGCCCTTCTTGACCTTTTTTTTTTTTTTTGGTCTTTTCAGATTCTGTGGAAGACGTGCGGCAAAATTGTCTGAAATGTCCAATTCTGATACCTCTGAATGACCCTCACGTGGTACAATCTGTTGAATACGTGCTCCATAAACACAATGAAAAACAGCCTAACCATGCTTATGAAGTCCTTGAGATTTCAAGAGGACAGCACAAAGTTAGTATGCAAATCTTAAAAGGGAATTCCGATTGCCTCTCCCAGTTTAATGCTTTGATGCTTTGTATAACTAAGAGAAAGCAGGGGGAGGCGAGGGGAATTATGCTGTGCAAGAACAGCTGCAGGTTTGGGGTTTGGCTAGGCTAAACAAAAGAAGAATTAGGGGTGATGTGATAGCAGTGATCCAATATTTGAGGGGGTCCAATTATTTTCCAAAGCACCAGAGGGCAGGAAAAGAAACAATGGTTGGAAACTAATCAAAGAGAGAAGCAACTTGGAATTAAGGAGTAACTTCCTAACAGTGGTCACTGCCTGGAACTCACTACCTGACTCTGTTGTTACATTCTCAAACCCCCAAAACTTTAACCTTGAACCATGGACCTCACTCCATTCCTAAGAGGTCTGTAAGAGCACCAGCGTGCCTCCCATCCCTGTCCTACTATTCCCATTTATTCGTACTAATTTATTATGTATATACTTATACCTGTTTATACTTATATGTTATGTTCATACATACTTGTTTTCTCATACATGCTTGACAAACTAAACTAAATAAATAATGGAGTCAAATTATTCTCCAAAGCACCAAAGGTCACAAAAAAAAAAAAACAATGGTTGGAAACGAAGCAAAGCAAGAAGCAACCTGGAATTAAGGAGAAACTTCCTAATAGTGAGGACAATTAACCAGGGGAACAGCTTTGCCTTCAGAAATGGAGGTTTTTAAAAGAGACTGGACAGCCACTTTCCTGAAATGGTATAGGTTCTCCTGCTTGAGCAGGGAACTGGACTAGAAGATCTCCAATGTCCCTTCCAACTCTATTCTATTTGAAATATTCTAAAACAGAAGCAACGAAACAGTCATGTAAAAGCTTAAAAAATCCTTATTTCTTAGGGGCTCTGGGGATCACAAATTACCTCTCTAAAGGGAGCTGGAAAATTTCAGTAGGAACAGTTGACCACGGGTGATGGTGGGGATATGCAGCAGACAGGACTAAAATTTCATCCCCCCGGCTCTTTAATTTTGCCACTTCTACCCACAACCCAGCTAAAATGTCTCTTGCTTTGATTTCAGTATGAGCCTGAAGCTTTCTACGTGGAGTTTGCTATTGTGGAGACCAACTGCTCTGCTCAGGAAGCTCATGATGACCATCATGACTGCCACCCCAAAGCAGCAGGAGAAGCAGTAAGTGTGCGGGTCAACTCCAATCCTATCTCAGCAAGTGCCACTTATTTATTTCTCTCCCTCCCTCCCTCCTTCTCTCTCTGTGCAAACCAGGACCACATTCCAAATAAATATGCAATGTCAAATATTCCATAGAGAAATAGAGACTTGAATCTGGCTCTCACCTGCCCAAATCCTACACTTTAACCTCTGTGCAACATCAATTTCTTCACAATTCATCCAGAAATAATGTATCCCCAAACTTCTTGTAAACCCTAGATGATGAGCTCAAGAACCAGATGGATCTTGACATATTTGAACACTGGGCCCTATCTAACAATATGAAATTAGATGTAGAGAAAAGTCAAGTCTTACACCTAGCTAAAAAAAAAAACCAAAATTATACATATAGAATGGGTGAAACCAGGCTTAATAGGAATAACTTTGAGAGGGATCTTGGAGTCTTAGTGGACAACCAGATAAATATGAGCCAGCAGTGTGCAGCAACAGCCCAAAAAGCCGATGCAATCCTAAACTGCATTAACAACTGCAATCCAGATCAAGTTAAGTACTAATACCACTCTATAAAGCCTTAGTAAGATCACACCTAGAGTACTGCATCCAGTTTTGGTCACCACACTATAAAAAAGATGTTGAGACTCTAGAAAAAGTGCAGAGAAGAGCAGCCAAGATACTTAGGGGATTGGAGGCTAAAACATACAATGAATGGTTGCAGGAAGTGGGCTTGGCTTGTCTAGTGAAGAGAAGGACTAGAGGAGACATGATAGCACGGTTCCAGTATTTGAGGGGCTGCCACAGAAGGGGTCAAGCTATTTTCCAAAGCACCTGAAGGCTATACAAAGAATAAGGGATGGAAACTGATCAAGGAGAGATTCAACCTAGAAATAAGGAGAAATTTCCTGACAGTGAGAAAAATCAACCAATAGAACAGAAGTTGCCTTCAGAAGTTGTGGGAGCTTAATCACCAAAGGCTTTCAAGAAGAGACTGGATGGCCATTTGTCAGAAATGGTGTAGATCTTCTGCTTGGGTGCAGGGTTGGACTAGATGACCTACAAGGTCCCTTCCAACTTTGTCAATCTGTTAACATCTGTAGAAGAATATGATGCTGAGTACCCTACAAATTGGGTTGTAATCTGTCTGAATTCTTTAATTCACTAGTATCTTAATTCTTCCTTCTCTCCCTCCTTCTCTCCAGCATATTGGATTCTGCAGAGCGACTGTTTTTAGATCGCACGCTGCCCTTGAAAAACCTAAAGATGAACAGTATGAGTCGGACTGTGTCATCTTTGATGTCAAGGTATGGATGTTAAATGCAATTTTGTTCACCCTCTTTCCCCTCATTCTCATCCACTTAAGATGTGTAGACTTCAACTGGCTGGGGAATTCTGGGGGTTCAAGTCCACGTATCCCTTGGTTTCTCTTATCCATTCTGTCCATCCAAGCAGCTCAAAATTAACTTCTTGGTCCAGCTATAGATTCCCCTGTATCCCATCACATGAATAAATGCTCTGATATGTCATAGAGTTTGTTTAATCTTGGCTTAGCATAATGCAGCCTTTACGATTTGCAAACCATAGATTATTTTATTTACATGCTTCCTTTTCTCTGAGATTATTATTTTATCCTCACCACGACACTTTGGATTGTAGATTGGACTGAGACAGAATAACCGGCTCAGAGCTACCCAGAAATTTATCTAGGGTTTGAATCTAGATTTCCCCAGTCCAACTCTGGCCCCTTAATTGCCATGGTATGTGTTACAATAGTAAAAAGAAGAATGACACTCTATTAACTGAAGGAATTACTGCAATTATTCAATTTTATTCATTTGATTTCTGCTCCAACATTCACCAACTGCCAGATTACACATAATCCTCAATTTACAACCAGAACCCCAAATTTCCATTGCAAAGCAAGCCTGTTAAGTGAGTTTTCCCCCATTTTATACCTTTCTTGCCACAGTTGCAATAGCACTTAGAATTATATACCACTTTACAGTGCTTCACAGCCCTCTCTAAGCAGTTTACAGAGTCAGCATATTTTTCCACAACAATCTGGGTCCTCATTTTGCAAATCTTGGAAGGATGGAAAGCTGTGTCAATCTTGAGCCTGGTAGGATTCAAACTGCTAAACTGCAGTCAACCAGTAGGCAGCAGAAGTAGCCTGCAGTAGTGCACTCTAACCACTGCGCCTCCGCAGATCATAGTTCAATGGCCAAAGAATACTGATCCATGTTTTCGTGTTTGTTTGTTTTTTTCAGGAGGGACATTCTCACACCCATTTGATTGAGCATCACTATGGAAAAAATATTGCTTCTCCAGGACACAATAATACTGTCCTGGACCTCGTTCATTCACACAATCATACAAGTGCCTCACATGAGTCTCATTCTCACGAGCATGTGGCAGTTCCTGTGGTTGAAGCTCCTGTGGCCAAAAGAGAAGCTCCAACAGAGATACCACATGACCACACACACGCTGCAAAACTTTGTCCAGGAAAAATACATCACTTCAAGGTGTAGGCCAGCTGTGCCAGAGAGCAGAGAGAAGCTGCCCAGTTAATGCAAAAAAAAAAAAAAAAAACCCTTTTCCAAATCTGAATTCAAACCTTGAATCGAAAAAGGATTTTTACCCTGATACGTTACCGTCTTGGCCAAGTGTTGTGATCCCCCGTTGTTGTTGTTACATGAAAGAGGCTTTGTATTTGTGCCTTTCTGCTTTTAGAAATGCAGATCTCACTGCGAACTTAACATCTTCCAGTCTCTCTTTGTTCAGCCAAGGAATGACAAGAAAGTTGAACAGAAATTATATTAGCCCCAAAGTCAAATTTCTTCTTTTTTTAAAAGAGAAAATGCATAACATTTGACAATATCTGCTCATCATCTCTAATACCTTATAAGATCCCCACCCCGGCCAAATGTCTCACCATGCTACATTATTTTGCAGGGGTAATGTTGAACAAAGTCAACCTATTGACAGCAAAAGGCACTGGGTATTTCCTAAATAAAATGTTCAATTCTAAAATGGTCTTGCCCTTTGTTTTGCTTTACGTTCATGGCCAGATGGCTTTGGTCACTCTGAGTGAGAATTCTGGGAATTATAGTTTAGCACCTCTAAGAGAGGACAGTGGGTCAACCTATTCTTCAAAGCACCTGAAGTCAGAGCATGAAGGAATGGGTGGAAACTAATCAGAGAATCAGCCTAGAAATAAATATATTTCTTGGCAATTAGAAGAATCAAATAAAAATTTGACAATGAAGAAATAAACATTAGAAAAGCCAGCGTCTTTTTGACTCCCTATATATCTTGAGCATCTCTTCTTTTTAATGGAATGCAGGCTATCAATATTTGTAAAAACTCTTTTGGTCCCTCTGAGCTTCAAACATCTTTAAACAGGTCAGATAGTTTTCATACCATCAGCTTTCTTTTCTTGTCTCTGACCTGGGCCATGTGCAGTAGCCTTCTGACTGATTAGGCCAATTGAAATTGCGACCATGTGACCAGGGGGATGCTGCAACGATTGTAAGTGTAAAAAATGGTCATATGTCACTTCTTCCACTGCCATTATAACTTTGAACGGTTGGTAAAAGAATGGTTGAAACTGAGGACTACCTGTAATAGAATTATAGATTCAACTATTTATTCCATGATAATTAAGATAAGATAAACTTTATTGTCATTTTTTTTACTTTGAGTACACTGATACATATCAAAAATGAAATTCTGTTGCCTGTTCTCAAAAGAAAGTATATATCTACCCATACTTATATAACACATACAGGTGAAACTCAAAATATCGTGCAAAAGTTCATTTATTTCAGTAATGCAACTTCAAAGGTGAAACTAATATATGAGATAAACTCATTACATGCAAAGCAAAATAGTTCAAGCCGTGATTTGTCATAATTGAGATGATTATGGCTTACAGCTCACGAAAACCCCAAATCCACAATCTCAGAAAATTAGAATATTACATGCAACCAATAAAACAAGGATTGTACATAGAACAATATCGGACCTCTGAAAAGTATAAGCATGCATAAGTACTCAGTACTTGGTTTGGGCCCCTTTTGCAGCAATGACTGCCTCAATGTGGCGTGGCATGGAAGCTATCAGCCTGTGACACTGCTGAGGTGTTGTGGAAGACCAGGATGCTTCAATAGCGGCCTTCAGCTCCTCTGCATTGTTCGGTCTCATGTCTCTCATCATTCTCCTGGAAATGCCCCATAGATTCTCTACGGGGGTTCAGGTCAGGCGAGTTTGCTGGCCAATCAAGCACAGTAATCCCATGATCATTGAACCAGGTTTTTGGTGATTTTGGCAGTATGGGCAGGTGCCAAGTCCTGCTGGAAAATGAAGTCAGCATCCCCATAAAGCTTGTCTGCGGAAGGAAGCATGAAGTGCTCCAAAATCTCCTGGGAGATGGCTGCATTGACCCTGGACTTAATGAAGCACAGTGGACCAACACCAGCAGATGACATGGCTCCCCAAATCAATACAGACTGTGGAAACTTCACATTGGACTTCAAGCATCTTGCAGCTTGTGCCTCTCCATTCTTCCTCCAGACTCTGGGTCCTTGGTTTCCAAATGAGATGCAAAAGTTGCTCTCATCAGAAAAGAGGACTTTGGACCACTGAGCAACAGACCAGGTCTATTTTTCTTTAGCCCAGGTAAGACGCTTCTGACATTATTTGTTGTTCAGAAGAGGCTTGACAAGAGGAATATGACATTTGAACCCCATGTCCAGGATCCTTCTCTGTGTGGTGGCTCTTGATGCACTGACTCCAGCCTCAGTCCACTCCTTGTGAAAGTCCCCAACACTTTTGAATGGCCTTTTCCTGACACTCCTCTCCAGGCTGCGGTAGTCGGGACTGGACATTTCAAAATAACCTTTAAAGGGCATACCGAGATGCTGCCGCTCACCATCGTGGACAGAGACCACCCCATCCCCATATTTCCCCCAGGCTTGGCCCACAGCGGCCTTTCCTATCCTATCCTCTTAGGCCTCATTTTTGCCCCAGGCAGCCCTTCCTATTCCCTTCACTCTCTCCCAAGGATAGTTATCCTCTCTCCTTACCTTCCAGCTCTTTTCTTCCCCCCAGCTCCTTGTCTCCTCCCCTTCCTGCCCCCCCAAAAAACCGTCCTTCTCCTTTTCCCTTCTCCCCATCTCCACCATACTTAAAATATAGGCTCACAGAGAAAAGGGAGGAGAGAAGCAACCCAGGAAGAAATGGCTGCTTAGGGCAGGTCTCTCCAAACTTGGCAACTTTAAGACTTGTGGACTTCAGCTCACAGAACTGCCTAGCCAGCTTGACTACTAGCTGAGGAATTGTGGGAGTTGAAGTCCACAAATCTTAAAGTTGCCAAGTTTGGAAACCCCTGGCTTTGGGCAACAATCAGTGTAGGGGAAAAGATGTGGCAAGTCATGCAGCCAATCAAAGGTTAAGCTGCCTTGGGCAAAAAGATGAATACTGTTTGGGGATAATAGCCAAAAAAACGCAGTGGAGAACATCGGTATGGTATTATCTATTCCTGAACCTCAGAAGAGCTAGATGACCCATGCTGATAGTGATTGCCTGGATATGTCCTAAGCAGTGTACATAATTACAAGCCATCAGGTGATTTGATGGAGCTTATCATGAATCAGTAATATAATTTTCTGGGCTGGGAACATTTTTTATTATTATTATTATTCAATTTGTATAGCTGCTCATCTTAGTCAATGACTCCAGGCAGCTTACCATTTTTAAAAATTACAATTAAAATACTAAATATATTTTAAAGCAATAAAAACACTAAAAACATCCAGATTAAATATAAATGGGAGCAAGATGTTTGCCCGTTAACAATATAGCCAGGAAATGGGGCCTTTGACACATTCACCATCAGTATAAGCCATCCACAAGAATAGGGCCAAAGTTTGTAGCTGTATTTTTTTTTTCCTTTGAGAAAACTGAAGTAGAAAGATAGCGAAAACAAAATGCGGAGGGAAGGTTTTTTTATTATACCTGGAATTCCCATGATCTAAAGTTAAGGGGGCAACTTACTTTTACTTTTATTTATTATGTTTGCCTACTTTCACCCTCAACTGGATTTTCTGGTTTTTCTTTGAAGATGTTTCACTTCTTATCCAAGAAGCTTCTTCAGTTCTTGAGAACTGAAGAGAAAGGACTGAAGAAGCACCATTGGGACAAACAAAAAAGTCCTAGACCAAATCTCACCAAAAATGTTACCTGCAGCCAAGATCACCAAAGGACTTCATACTTTGGTCATGTCATGAGCTCTCTTGAAAAGGCAATTGTGCTGGTAGTGGTCAGTGGAAAAAGGAGAAGGGGCCACCCTAATATTTGCTTGCCAACTGGAAAATATAAGAGATAACACTGGATATAGTGGATCTGAAGGAGGTGACGCAAGACAGAGGGGCTGGTCCAGAGAGTGGCCAAGAGTGGGACACGACTGAATGACTGACATCAAGATTTGATGACAATCCACTCAAACAGGAGGAGAATAGAATAGAATTCTTTATTGGCCAAGTGTGGTTGGACACACAAGAAATTTGTCTTTGTGCAAATACTCTCAGTATAGATAAAAGAAAAGATAAATTCGTCAAGAATCATACGTATAACACTTAGTGATGGTCACAGGGTACAACAAGCAATCATACTAGGAAACAGTCAATATAAATCGTAAGGATACAAGTGACAAAGTTACAGTCATACAGTCACAAGTAGGAGGGGATGGGTGATAAGGAGCAATGAGAAGATTAACAGTAATAGTAGTGCAGACTTTGTAATAGTTGGACAATGTTGAGGGAATTATTTGTTTAGCAGAGTGATGGCGTTTGGGGAAAAACTGTCCTTGTGTCTAGTTGTTCTGGTGTGCAGTGCTCTATAGCATCGTTTTGAGGGAAGAAGTTGAAACAGTTTATGTCCAGGATGTGAGGGGTCTGTAAATATTTTCACAGCCCTCTTTTTGACTCGTGCAGTATATACAGGTCCTCGATGGAAGGCAGTTTGGTAGTAATTGTTTTTTCTGCAGTCCTTATTATCCTCTGAAGTCTGTGTCTGTCCTGTTGGGTTGCAGAACCAAACCAGATAGTTATAGAGGTGCAGATGAAAGTCTCAATAATTCCTCTGTAGAACTGGATCAGCAGCTCCTTGGGCAGTTTGAGCTTTCTGAGTTGGCGCAGAAAGAACATTCTTTGTTGTGCTTTTTTGATGACGTTTTTGATGTTAAGGATCCATTTCAGGTTATGTGATATAGTAGACCCTAGAAATTTGAAGGTCTCTACTGTTGATACTGTGTTGTCTAGTATTGTAAGAGGTGCTAGTATTGGGGGGGGGGTGTTCTTTGTCATACCAGGTCAAAGGGGAGACAGAGGAGATAATTTTAGTCAATTTAGCAATAGCATTTAGATTTATACAGGTCGTCCTTGACTTACAGCAGTTCACTAAGTGACCGTTTGAAGTTACAACAGCACTGAAAAAAAGGACCTATGACAATTTTTCTCACTTACAACCATTGCATCATTCTCATGGTCACATGATCAAAATTCAAACTCTTGGCAACTGACTCATATTTTATAATGGTCACAGTGTCCTGGGATTACCTTCTGTGATCTTCTGACAAGCAAAGTCAAAGGGGAAGCCAGAGTCATTTCACAACCATGTCCCCAACTTAACAACTGCAGTGATTCACATCACAACTCTTCCAAGAAAGGTCATAAAAAGGAGCAAAATTCACTTAACAAATGTTTCACTTCACAACAGAAATGTTGGGGTCAGCTGAGGTTGGAAGCTGAGGGCTACCTGTATACTGGTTCATAGTGTTTTACAGCCCTCTCTAAGCGGTTTTATTGAGTCAGCATTTTACTGACCATGGAAGGATGGAAGGCTGACTCAACCTTAAGCCAGTCAGTTTGTCCTGGATCTGAGGAAAAAGTCAGAGAGAAGTTGGTGCTGTCCAGGAATCTGATGAAGAACAGAATCCATTGGGGTTCACATGCTGTGAAAACCAATTGAGG